TGCTGCCTACTTTCGCAACATCAAAAGTTGCCATATTTTAAAATTTGACGCGAATCGGTCAAGTGGGAAAAAGGAGTGCTGGGAAAAAAACCGTTTTGGAGAACACTGTTGTATGTGATGACAAACAACTGTGGGAAACCAGTTGAGCAACGGCTATTTGTCTCAATCTGTCCGTTAGATTTTCAAAATACCCCATTTTTCGGTCTCATCACGAGTGTTGGGTAAGTTCATAGAACTAGGTTGAAATAAAAGTTCCTTATGGATAGTGACAAATCGTTTTTAAAGTGCACTCGATTTTTATAGAATCGCCAAATATGGTCGCCGGAATAGCGGTAAAGGGAAACGCTGGAAAAAAAGGGTCCGGAACCATGCAGGTCACCTCATGAACGAATTTCATCCTGACCACTGAGCTTTCCAAATTTTTGGGATGTAGTTATTGCCATGGAAGTCTGGTGCTTGGCGAGTTGTCAGACTAAGGCTCGTCGCAGTCGGACCCCTTGCACTGTGAGCATCTAAGACCCTAAAAATTCGGAAGCTTCTGCTTTCTACAATAAGGTATAGAACCGTACCTTTTGGGCTAAATTCAGCCTCAGCCTCAGCCGACTAAATTCAGCCTCGGCACGCTAGTCGGCTGAGGCCATTATTCCAAAAATTTAACCCACTCGCGACCGGGCGGAATTTTCGACGACTGCCCGTTCGGACCAACGCCGGCAGAGGCGATTGCGAAATGTCAGCCACCGATGGCTGACATGGTCCCAGAGGAAATCCATCAGTTTTTTTTCGATTCTATCTATACATCTTCTATCATCTGGTGGTTAACGAGGGTCCTGATCACGAATATGATATCCATTTTTGCCGATGACGCCAAATTGGCGTTATTTGGCGCCAAATAGCGCCATGACTGAATCGCACCAAATTCGCTGAAAACTTGTGTATAGGGGTCATCGAGGGTCCTGATTAAGAATATGACACTTGTTTTTAGCGGCGGCGCCAAATTGGCGCCATTTGGCACCGGCGGTTAAAAAGAGTGTTATATTCGTAATCATGACCCTCGATAACCCCTATACAGATGTTGTCAGCGAATTTGGTGCAATTCAGTCATGGCGCTATTTGACGCCAAATGGCGCCAATTTGGCGCCAGCGCCAAAAATGGATTGCTTTTTTGAGATCAGGATCTTTGACAACCCCCATGGGAGAAGTTTTAGCAAAAAAAAAATCCCAACTTTTTTGGTGAAATTTTGAAGTCATGATATTTTTTCTTCAATAAAATTCTAGTGGATAGAGTTTCCTCTGCCCAGGGGCGGCGTAGCTAGATGAGGGTATGAAAATTCCTCACAGTAAAGAAAATCTCTCAAAGACCTCCTTTTGTTTTCAAAAATTCCATTTGAAGCCCGTCAGCCACCGGTGGCTGACATGGTCGCGAATGGGTTAATCCCTCGCCAAACGGCCTCCTGTCTCGCGAAAACGCTTATTCGGTACCAATAGTTACACAAAGAAAAAAATACCAGCAGTTTCAGAAACCAGCCGGACTGGCCAAGCGATGCTAGTCCACGAAAATGCGCTCAATTAGGAACTCTACAGTTTTGGATGGTAAGCTCGTGGCTCATCCCGATGAGGTCGCATTGAACCAATAAATTCGATGTTTCCAACCGTTTTGAGTGGCGCTTGAAAGACCACTGTTTTTAAGAAGAAAAAAACAGAATAAGCGAGAGCGCATGACAGCGGGGGGGGGGGGCATGCTCGAGTCAACCTCTCTTCCTTCCTCCTGGGGTCAATTAATCCATCGCAGACCTCCGTCATGTGGGCATCTCCGTAGATTTTTGTCGTCTGCCTTATCATTAACCAACTATATATTGATAATTTTCTCAGTATTACATTATATGATGCCACTTGGCGCTGCCAACTGTTGCACTCAAAACTCGGTTCTGTGTTCTGCGGCGATCTGGAACGATGCGACGAAAATTCTCAAATTCAGTACTACACATATTACTTGCTCTCCTAGGCAAGATTCTGAATGCTTTCTTCCAGCCTTCAGTCTATTCCTGGACCATATTGCCACTTGGAGTTTGGGCTCCACCCACCACCAGCATTCGAACACCTTTCGTTCGCCGACCTCTATCTATTTTTTCACTGTCCATGAGATTTTTGGAGGAGTTGAAAAGTTTCGCAGCAAACTCCGCCCATCCATGAACGCATAACCTCCCCTCCTTCTTTGACCCCTATACAGCTTTTCTCCCTTTCCAAGACTTCTCGAAAACACATTATGAGGACTTCTAGGAAGGAAATGCTTCCACTTCAGGGAACGAACCGCCCACTGGGGGCGGGCCTTCGTACGGCATGAATTTCTTCACTAACCACCTTTTTTTTGGAGAACGTCCCACCCACCAAAGGTGGGTCTCCCTAATTCGATTAGGCTCATCAATACACAACTTTACAATTCCCCATTTTCCAAGCTGTCTAGGAACCTAATTGTGTTGTGATCATTTTTTGTTTTGATGCACGCAACGCCCCCTGTGGGCGGGACTACGCTTAGATGATGTATGCTCTGTTCTTCTGGACACATGGTCCACCCATCTTACACTTGACCCGGCCTCTCCAGGCGAATCTGAAGAAAATAGGGAATTCATGACGGACACCGTGACAGTACGACTGACAGACAGAGCGCTCTAGAGTGAACAGGACATTCCGCAATCCAAAAAATAGTTGATATTCCCGTTTAGATCAGTGATAAATGAATCGATCACAACTGTCCTTTTCCGTGCAGGGGTTCAAATGGCTTGATCGAGAACAGATTTGATCGAGTTAATGATGAGCGCTGTCTTGCAACTTGGTTGTGTCACACGACATAGCGTATAGTTCAAAATGTTCCCATTATGGCACGATTCTAAATGGGAGCTGAGCGCATGGCGCATCTTTTAAAGGGTCTACGCGCCATGCTCCTGATCCACTTTGCAGGAGAATGTCGCTTTCAGGACCTCAAATACCTTCAGGACCCGACCTTCAAGACCTCAATTACTTTCTGCCTAACGCTTTCGCCCTCCTTAACTTTGGATTTACAACTCTTTGGATTTCCAAGATCAACGGCTCTCTTCCTGAAGGGCGAGTAAGAAAAAACACCACTAGGAGGTGGGGTAGGGGATTTCCATGTTAACTGGAACCCTGTTCTTGGGTTTCTGAAGCGAAAAATCTTATTCCATATGGAGTCGTTTCGTTCGACGAAATTCGAAGTTTACCTTGAAAAAGTAGGACAAGCAAACATTTCCCTCTATTTGTCGGTCAACGTGCTCAATCGCCCTTCGGCTTATGAGTTGATCGACTGGGAAGGGTTTTCTCCTCTAACAACGCGAAATATTCAGGTGTATTCCAAAAAAGTCTTTATCGAAAGCGATAGGGAGTATAACGTCACCCTCTTCCCTCTCCCAAAGCCTCCGCACTTTAAAAACTTTGAGAAGAAGTCATATTGCCACGAATGATTACGGTGCATGGCCATGAAAGGCCGCGCCCGAGCTAAATTATTTCTGATATAATAAAAACTCGTATACTAATTTGATGCGATCGCTAGGGAGGGGGGCAATATGGTGGCGTGTATGAAAAATCTGTGCAAAACATCTCCTTCTTGGTTTAAAAAAACGGGCCATGACTCAGGCAGAGGCGAGTCTCCAGTAGTGTCAGCCGTCACGTTCGTACCTTTTCAAAAATTTAGCTACGTCCCTCCCAAGGGGGTGTCGATGCAACCCTCCACCACCACCACCACCCTTAGAAGGCTTCCCTTTCTCCATCTCCGACCACCACCCTCGCCAGAATGCTTTTTGTAGTATTTGGTTACTTATCTCTGAGACCAGGCGGTCAACGGGTGGGGGAGGGGTCAGGTGGTAAACTGGTACCATGAAGCGGCATATCTACAAACTTTGCCTAATTCTCACTACTTTCGGAAACTTCCACTGAATTCGCCAAAAAATCCGTCCAAACGCAACCCACTAAACGACCGCCATCAACCCCATCCCCATTATGATAACCTTGCTCAATCCTGAAATCCGACCCCCTCCCCGAAACCAAAAATGCGGCCAACTCCCTAGTGCGAAAGAACGGTTGACCCTGGCCTCCAGGGGCGTGAGCAATTTTCATTTCACATAAAGGTGCTGCCCCTAGAGGTTCCTCCGGAATTTTGCGATAGGCCCTGAATTTTCTTAAATTTCAATCATGTTGCTTGCAATTTTAACAACTTCGTTGTTTTTGTGGGTAACGTAGTAGGGTTGGCTCAGTGACGAGAGGCGCTGCATCACATTCACATGGGCTTGAATTACTTGAAGACCAATCTGGCCTCACATCCTTTTTCGTCGTTTGTTGATCGCAGATGTTTTCGTCAGGACCAACATACTGACTCGTATGGCAAATTAATATTCAAAACAAGCCATTTTTATTACCGACGCGGTCATGTAAGCCCACGACTCCCACGACTCCGAGCGAGGAACGAGTGCATGGCGCATCCTTAAAGGAATTGCCTTTGGTTGCTACTCAAAAAGACCGCAACTCTTGCCTGTCGCTACCTTATTATGTGGATTTCATTACACGATAGCTTGGGGTAGATCAGATCTGGCGCGTTAATGAGCTACATAGGGAATTGTTCCGACTCATAATCATCAAAAAAGGATAGCCGTCACTCATCCAGGAACAAGAATCTGATCTGGCACTGCAGCTAATTCCTCCATGCAAGTGGAATAGGTGCTGACAGCGTAGGAACAGCAGAGAATGAAACGCTGAAATAAGGTAGGTTGGCTTGAAGTGAACGCCTTAAGCCACACCCTGAGTGCGGTTGGGTGAGTGGCCCAGATCGCTGGTCGGCCACACCCGGAATATTCGCCCTTCCCTTCTTATTCCCTCCACTCACCTTCCACTCCATACTTCTATCTATTAACGATTTCATATCACCTTTTCTTCCAATTAGGTTTCTGGGAACGTTTTCCCGTAATATATTAGTATTCTCCCACATGGCACCCTGTGCACGGATGGCCGAGTGGTCTAAGGCGCCAGACTCAAGCATTCACTTGCCGCGAGAAAGCGGATTGGGCGTTCTGGTACTCGTATGGGTGCGTGGGTTCAAATCCCACTCCGTGCAAAACTTTTGCAAATGTCTTGTGGCACACCTAAAAAATATTGTGGGAGGCAATAAGGAAAACAAGCAGGAGAAAAAAAAGAAATCCATACAAATTGCTGGAAAAGGCGCAAATTGTTACGCGAAAACGGTCGAGTGCAGTCGGGCATCAAATCCAACATTCCCACAGTTGTTTTCCTACGCTGATACTACAGGGTCTGCGGAACTTTCTACCACGTTGTAGATCTCATTAACACATTGACGACAATGCCAGTTTTGGTGTTTTTGGCCGTGTGGGACCGACGCGATTTTGCGACCGTATTTGTCGCGGTATACATACCTCCGCACGGTCCGACAAGGCCCGTTTTTGGAAAGTCGAACGAATAAACAACTTCAGAGAGTGGTTACTAAGTAAGATAGCTTACATGATAAAAGTACAAACAAAGTAGCTCTATCAGCAGAAGTTCTGATTGAGGAAACGCCCATTCAGGGTTATGAAATGGGTCAAATTGGAGGCGTTGTTGAAAAGTGTTCGTATACGTTCTTCCACAATAAAGCTGGAACTTCTTGCAACTTGGCAAATTTGTCGTCCTCAAACTTTAGGCGAAACATTTCAATACCATTCACAGTTTTACTTCCTCCTTAAGAGTTATTATGAGTTTGAGCTGAATTGAAAAGATTACGGCTTTTGAAAACTTTTGTTAAATTGAAGCATATTTAACTATTCCACGGACCACAACGTTTGTAGTTACATATATCAACATTCGATCCATAAGATAGAAATAAAAAACTTCGGAAGAAGTCGTACATCTGCGAAAAATAGTGATGGAATCGGTGCGGGATAGATATCCCCCGCACGGTCCGCCGTGGCCCGCAAAGCGCGGGATATATATCCCTCGCGCTGTTGTCAGTGTGTTAAGGTGTCCAAAAATTGAGCGACTGTAGTATATATGGGACCACTCCTTCCCAATTCCTCTTCTGACTCGAGGAAGTCCCGCTTGAATCCTCTTTTTTTCGCCGTAGGTCGGCAGTGACGGATGAGGCTTTCCAGGTGACTTTTGATGGCCCATCCCTCGCCTGTTCTAATTGCTGTGACTCCCCTTGGAGCGACTGTGTCATTAACCCACTTACCCACTACCTTTCAACTACTACAAATTTCTCTTTATTCAAACCCTTAGTTGATTATCTACTGGATCCACCATGTGCAGACGAACAATGCAGAATCAGCTTCTTGAAATCGCTTTGGTCTAGACTGATAGAAGTTCCATTTAGTTCATTAACTGGTCTCTATAAACCACAGTTGAAGCTGATACGCTTTCAAAATCGCTGAGAGGTAGCGCACTGGGAACTAGCGCCATTTGTTGCGCGTACGGTTGAAGACATCTTTTGGCTCAAATCTTGCTTGAGTCAACCAAGCCTTTTTTTCCACCCGGGACCTGCACGAGCTCTTTTTGGAGTGCAGAAGCAGTTAAGGAGAATGAAACCATTTGATGGGAGGCAACCGCGACCTGCACATCGGGTCGCTACGCAGTTCACTGGGTGGATCACATTCAAAAGCCTCCACTTCCAGAATAGAGTTCGAGTGCATGGCGCGTACCAAAAATAGATTGGTCGCTGCCAAACAGCTTCCATTATTCCCTTCTCCCTTCAATCGTACCACTCCCAGATAATTAGTGAGTCCATTATCCTAAGCGCATCGATTACCTTCAATATTTCTAATCTGGATATTTATAAAATATAGTTAATCGATTATTTTTGTTGCCTTGTTGTGTCTAGTCTATCAAATTTTCCGCTTTTTTTTGCTGCGAAAGCTCCGTCGTGACTGACGTTTCTATGAATTTTCACTGCATATTGTAGCCGATGGGAAGGCCGTCGGCGGGTTCACGGCTGAGATGTTTGATCCGCCCGACGCCCACATGTGGCTCCCCTCCTCTCCTCTTAAGCGATTCATCATGTTTTTGGAGGGCATTCCTCCACTGTTTCGGCCATTTCAATCAGCCAATCGTTGCTGCGTTTCGCTGATTGATTTGTTATTCGTTTTTGCAAGAAGATCTACGCTTTCCCCTGAAACTATCAGTTCTCTGCTACGGGGGAAATGACTCCTGAACTGACCAGTCGCCCGAATTGGGAATTCGAGGAATGAGTCCTGTGGACAATTCTATTCAGGGAGTAGATGAAAAGTCAGAATGACTGTTTGTGACTTTGGTACTTGAAGAATGTTCCGATTTGTCATCATTCTACAGGTTTTCTATGGCTCTTCAAGAAGGGCTGCTTTTCAAAAACCTTTTTTTAATGTTATAAAGGTAAACACAGGCAAAGAGAGAACAACTCCAACCTTGCTGGCGTTCAGGATGCAGAGAGCGCGATTTTTCGATAACTTCTGAAGGAAAATCTGGAAAACAATGTGGCGTCTGTTCTTTTTTGGAGCAGGGTCAACCGTCACGTTCGAACATTTTCGGGATTTTTGCGACCCCCTTCTCTCGAGAGGGTCCATTTGCGACCTCGAGGGGGTCCATTTGCGACCCCCTGTGAGCCGACACCAACTGCTAAGTGTGTTTACTAAGTGTGGCGTGAAATATTTATTTCACAAAAAATGATCTTCACTGGATTTCAACATAATGAATTTTTTCATCTTCATGTTGAATTTTTTTCAAATTCAACCTTCATTTACAATTTAAAACCTTTCAAACTTCAAATTTCAGTTTTCAACTCAAATTTCAATTTTCAATTTTCAATTCAAATTTCAAATTTCAAATTTCAATTCAAACTTCAAAATTCAATTTTCAATTTTCAATTCAATTTTTTTCAAATTTCAATTCAAACTTCAAAATTCAATTTTC